GTTACAACTGAACTAGAAAAACTGAAGACAGGAACCAAGAGCAGCAAGGCCTAGTTGAACAGAGTGCTCAGAGCAGCCTGTCTAAAGTTTGATCAAGGGGAAAAATCTGTCAGTATGGTAAACTGGTCTCATTAATTCTTGAGTTAGCCTTGACAAATTTGAAATATTGGAGTAGTCTTCTCATTTAAAACATTTTTTACTCACAAATCAAATAAAAGAGCTTGCAGCACTCTTGATAACAAACTTTATTGCTATAAATCCACTGACATCTCACTTCGTTTTGATACTATTATAGAGGAAACGAGATGATGAATCATGAAAATGATGCTATTTTCTTGCCTTACAAAGCAACTGCTAAATAAAGGCAGAGTGAAAGCAACCTTTTTCCAGCTGTCTCATTGCCTTTTTAAGCCTGCATTATAAGTTTCTACAAAATGAATTGGAGAAGACCATAGAATACTAAACCACTAGGACTCCTATGAACTAAATGCAAGACTTTCATCAGATTCAAAAGACTTGGAGCCTGGAGATATGGAAGGTTGTAGAGGGACTCAGCAGGAATTATTGGAAGAAATTAGGACGATAATTACCCAGAATGAAGCCTACAGCTGCGACCAAGGAAATTTGTTTTATCATGAATATTTCAGACTCAATCATGCTTTCTAAGGTCACATAAACTCAACAGGGAGACACTTATGGTTATTGCATATACTGATCTGGCATGTAATTAAGTTTTCAAAAAGTATAAGACCATCAGACTGCAAGTTCCTTAGGGACACATACCCTGACTTAGCCTGTGGGATCATTGAAGTCAATAGACATTGTCTTCTTTTGTTAATGCCCATTCCCTTAGCATTACTGAAAATGACAGAATTTCATACTCACAGTCATGGAAAATGGTGTGAAATACACTAATTTTTGCCTTCAGTGAGTTCATGGGGGAGTTTGATAGACAGACAATAGAATATTCACAATACTGTGTCCTAAAACATCATCTTAAGGACATGTAAAGCTAATGGTAAGAGAACAAGCAGGGACAGTACAGAGATTTAGATGAGGGGAGCCAAGTGATACTGGAAAATATGAGATCAGACAACAGGAGTTAGTAAATAAAGAACATTTACAGAAATTTCTGCTCAGAAGTGGAAACATTTTTATTGAAAATATTCTTCTCTCGTACAATACATCACAACCACAGTTTACCTTCCCTCCATTCCTCCCAGCTCCCCCATACCTGTCCTCTCCTCCATATTCACTTCCCTTCCATTTCCTTTGCAGGAAAGATCAGGCCTCCAAGAGACTACAACCAAACAGGACCTAGTACTTGGGAAAATCATTTTAAAAGAAGATGAGAATGTGTACTGTAGGAGACTGTATGTAATGTGGTGAAATGGAGAAACAAAGAATAAGGAGGGAATGGGACTCTGGGAGAGAAACTACAGTGATTCTGGGAAGATAATCAAGATTGTGAATTTTATTCTGAAACCTCTGGAGAATCATTAAATAATTTTAAGCAATGTGAAAGTGTTAGAAAGTCCAGTACAGAGATTGGTTCAGTAGTCACAATTTTCATGTAGTTGTGGTGGGAGCTTAAACTAGGATAGAGAGAAGGAGGAAAGCTTAAACTATTCTTGAGAAGACATAAAAGGTTGAAGATCATTTTGTGTGGGAACTTAAAAAGAAGATACATACAATGGAGACCAGATTGCTGACTTTGTTGGTTTGTATCTTCCTGTTATTTCACCAATGCTTAGCATAGGAAAGGTTACAAGAAGATAATTCTTCAATGTATGCACAAATAATTTGACACATATTACTGATCCACTGAGATATCTCTTCTAGGGCCTGCTTTTACTTCTGCCATATGAGACAGTGTCTGCATAGTGTCCAATTTTCATCTATAGAGCTTACTTTTTTGCTTTACCGTGGGCTTTTTATAGTACAGGAACCTCTTGTTAGCTCCACAATCAGAGCAGTTAAGAAATCCTAAGGATTAACCAAGGGTATTCCATAGTCAGTGATGAATACAAATGATAAATGAATGTGCCAGCTTTCCTACTCTTCACTGGGGCTTTCCTGAACTCTAGTCTGCACAATTCCTCAGAGAATCTCTTGTGGAATGTAGTTTCAAGCTTATAACAGTAATATTCCTTTAGCATGTTACTGACTTTCTCATTTCTTCTGTTTCTTTAGTTGGGCTTCCTGGGTTCATCTCTCCCTGCACGGGAATCCTTACAACACGTCTGCATCTGGGGAATCATGTCTAGTCCAGGGGAATGTGATTAAATAATTTTTAAGATTTATTTATGTGTATGAATGTTTTGCTTGCATGAGTTTGTGTACACCACCTGTGTGCATTGCCTGAAGAGACCAGAAGAGAGCATCGGGTATCCTAGAATTGGAGTAACAGAGATTGTGAGCAGCCTTGTAGGTACTGGGAACAGAACCCAGGTCCTCTGCAATAGGAACAAGTGATCTTAAGCATTGAATAATCTCTCCTGCACAAATTAAATAATCTAATTTGGGGTTTAAAGGTTTATTTAATTTTACTTTATATGCATAACTGGTGCCCCCCCCAGAGGGCAGAAGTGGGTATCCAGTACTCTGGAACTGGAGTTACAGACAGTTGTTAGCCACCATGTAGATACTGAGAATGAAACTTAGGTTCTTTGGAAGAGCAACAAGTTCTCTTACCCACTAAACGATCTCTCCAGCCTCCATTAAATAATTTTAAAGATAAAGCTTTGTTTCATAAGAAATTCAGAGAGGATAAGACAAAGAAAAACAAATGCACATGAGAGTTGCACCATGAGATCTTAGTCTTTTTTCAAATGACAGAGAACAGAAAACACATTATTACCATACACCAAACAAAGACTATGAAAATAATTTTGCTTTCCTAATGATTTACGCTGAGCCACTGAACATTCATCTTCCGTTAATTACTGTGACCTGCAGACAGCTGTATTCCAGGTGGAGTGCTTAAGCCCAAAGCCAATGGAGAAAGTAAAGTCCAGAATGTGCTGCATGTACTTACCTCTGCAAACATTCTCTCTTAGTTCAGTTTCCATCTCTCTGAACAACAAGTAAAGTTTTGTCTTTTGCCAGTTGATATATCAAACTTAACTTCAATGAATTGTTACCTATTTTCTACCAAAATCATACAGCTCACTTGCAAGGTAAAATGAAATCGTGCTCTCATAAGACTAATGATGATTTGACACATTCAGTATTCATCTGAAGTTACTCTTGGCTTTTAGGTAAAAGACATGAAGCATCATAAACAAAGAAAAAAGCAAAACAAGCATTTTTTTTCATAAGATTACATAATCCTCATTCAGATTTGGTTTCTTACAACCAACATGTTGAAGTTATGGTATTCTAACTTTTGCACATACAAACCAAAGTTGCTGTTGTGAACACAAACAATTAAAATGTACAGAAGATATGCATGAAGTGTGCATCAATGCACAAATAAGAATAGTATCATTTGACCAGGCTGGCTGTCAAACCTGACACTCAGGAGAAGAGACTGAGTCTTGAGTTCAGTGCCAGAGTCACACACACACACACACACACACACACACACACACACACACACAAACACACACAAAGTTGTCTAGTGTTTCTTGAATTTAGGCACAGATACTTAGATTTATACTATTTAAAGTGAAGTTATAGAAATATGTTAGAAACAGGATTAATTCAATAACTTTTTCTTTTTGGTTTTGTTAAAATATTTTAATATATGTTAAATTAATTTTTGCTGACATTCAAAGTAATGTTTTTAATTTAAAGTAATATATATATATAACATATATAATCGTTATGCTTTTTATATATATCATTATGCTTTGTTCTTTTAAACTATTATTTATTACTATTATTGTGTGTGAAAGACACATACAGAGAAACAAAGAGAGATTTTGTGTATATATTAGCTTATGAAAATCAGAAGACAATTTTTATAGAGTGGGTTCCCTCCTTCTACCTTTCTATGGGTTCCATGTATCAAACTCAATTCACCAGCAAAAATAGTTATTCAAATATGACCTATGGCAGAAATTAATGTTTTGAATTTTACTTGTGTTGAGTAGGAAACATTTTGAATATCATTATAGCAATGAGCATGGAAGAGAAGTGAAAGAACATTTTTTTGTAAGCAAAGAAATTATTTTTGGTTTATTCAGTTGGGGAGGATACAGGAAAGGGTAAATGAAATCAGTGTTTGAAAACTGAATAATTTTTGTCCTTGTAAGCAAAAAGAGTCAGTGTGGGAAAGACTTTAAACAGTATTTTATTAACTTAATTTTCAAACCTTGAATTATTTGAACCAATGAGCTATAATCCTATATGATGCCCTATAAAAATTTTGACTTAAAAAAAAGGACAACTGCATAAATACCAGGATTAATATTGCTGGGTCATGTGATATATTCATGTGATATTTTGTTAGTCTTGTGAGGAACTTCCCTACTGATTTCCACAATGGCTGTACCAGGTGTGCACAAGGGTTTCCTTTTGTTAAAATCCTCACCACAATTTGTTTTCTTGATGACTGCCATTATGAGTGAGGTGAGATAAAAATGCAATAACGTTTAATTTGGATTTCTTTGAAAACCATTGATGTTGGACTTTTTTTTTACATATTCATTGACCATTTGTACATACTTTGTTTTTTGTTAACTGTCTTTTGTTTATTCTTTGTGTCTTTCATATCATGTATCTCGATCCAAGTCATTTCCTGTCTGTTTGTATCTTCCCTCTGCCCTTGTAATGTAACCCACCCTCCACAAAATAAAGTAAAATAAAATTTAAGAGAAAAAAGGAAAAAAATCTTGTCATGAAATCTGTAGTGTGATATAGTGAGTCACGTAGTAAAACCTTTCATCCATATATCTGTGTGTGCAAGTGTTAATTGCAGAGTCATTGGTCTGGTTTGAGACCTCTGGTTCCTGCGATACTATTGATGCTGGGCCTTCACTGGGACTCCTCTTGGAAAAACTATGGAACACTTCATGAATTTACATGTCATTCTTGTGCAGGGGCCATGATAATCTTTGCATCATTCAAATTTTAGTATATGTACTGCCGAAGTGGGCACCATACTTTGTGTTTTTAGAAATGTCTTGTCATTTCATTTGGTCATTTTTTGACTAGGTTGTTTTAATGACTCTGTATCAACACATCACAGAGGTACTAGCACATCTAGGTTTATTGCAACATTATTCAGGATAGAGAAGCCATGGAAAGAATGAATCTAGGTGCCTATCAGTATAAGAACAGATGAAGAAAATTCAATATATTTGATATCTGACTATAAATACATAGTCATATGTATTTAGCCACAAAGAAGAATGGTATTATGTAAGTTTCAGGAAACTAGATGTAATTGGAGATAATCAGATTAAGTAAATTAGATCAATCTCAAAAGCACAAATATCACATTTTGTCTCACTTGTGAGTCTTAGACCTTATATGGATACATAAAATAATTTATTTACATATGATTTGAAAGTCAAAGGAAAATTTACCAGGAGAACAAAGAGAAATAACAGGTGGGAGGGCAAGAAAGGGGAGGGGAGCAGGGTATGGTGGGGATGTGCTCAAAGTACACTATATATTTGGATAATAGTAAATATATACTTAACATTATAAACTAACATTATATGCATGATTATTTATTATCTATCCTGGTTCCATGAATAGTGAAAAAGTAAAACAGAACAATTAAAAAATGAAAAGACAAGAATTTATTTTTTTCCATTTTTTATTTACATTTTTTAAACAAAATACTTTTATCATGTTTATTCCCCTCTCCTGACTCCTTCCAGATCCTCCACTGTTGTGGCATATTAGTTAAATATGTGTTCCATTCCTTTATGCTGTGGAATATTTGTTTAATGATGCAAAGTTGTGTTGTGTTCTTTTATGTTGCATTTGTTTAACTCTGTGAAGCTGTGTTACTTTGCCTGTCTAAAACACCTGATGTGCTAATAAAGAACTAAACATCCAATAGCTATGCAGGAGAGAGAAATAGGTGGGGCTGGCAGGCAGAGAGAATAAAGAGGAGGAGAGAATAAGAGAAGCAAAAATGGAGGAGAGATGATGCTAGGGGCTGGCCTTCCAGCCACATAGCCAGACATGGAGTAAGGAGTAAAGAAAGACATATAGAACAGAGAAAGATGAAAGCCCACAGGCAAAAGTTAGATGGGATAATTTAAGAAAATAAAGCTGGCTAGAAACAAGCCAATCTAAACTAAGCATTTATAAGTAAGAATAAGTCTCTGTGTATTTATTTGGAAGCTGGGTGGCTAGCCTCCAAAGAATGAAAAGTTAAAAACAAACAAACAACTAACTACACTCCTCAGTATTTATAAAGGCTTAGATTTGCACAATAGCCATTGAAAGAATGAAGACACAACACACACATTTTCAATGGCAAATACAAGGGGAAATGTTCACAAAATAAATAAAATAAGGGGCTGGAGAGAGAGCTCAGTAGTTAAGAGCACATGCTGCTCTTGTAGAGGACCTGGGTTCCCACATAGCAGCTCAGAACTATCTGTAACTCTAGCACCAGGGGATATGATGCCCTTTTCTGGCTGACACAGGCACTATGTGCACAAAGTACACATACACACATGAAGGCAAAACATTCAACACATATTAAAAAAAATTAAAATCCTTATAAAGAAACTGTAGAACACAAGCATATATGGATAACACACAGTATGGAAGTGCAAGAAAATGAAAATAAATGGTACAAATATATAAAAGGATAGATTTGAGTATTCAAGTATGACGTAGAGAAAATAGAGACTGAAGAGCATAGTGTTAAATCCACAAGTGTTAAATTCTGTAGAAGTGTGCTGAAGATATGGCTCAGAGTTTAAGAGCACTTGCTGCTCTTCCAAAGGTTCTGAGTTCAATTCTCAGCAACCACATGGTAGCTCACAACCATCTGTAGGAGACCTGGTGCCCTCTTCTGGGCTGCAGGCATACCTGCAGAACACATAATAAATAGATAAATCTTAAAAAAAAAGAAATCCAATCTTAAAAAAAAAATTTGTAGAAGTATGATAAACCATTATTCAACTGACCCTTTAAATATGAGAAAATGAGAGCCATAGGACCAGTAATTAACCTTGTTCTGAAGCTCTTTTTAATTTATTTATTTATTTATTTATTTTATTTTATTTTATTTTATTTGGTTTTTTCGAGACAGGGTTTCTCTGTGTAGCTTTTGCGCCTTTCCTGGAACTCACTTGGTAGCCCAGGCTGGCCTCGAACTCACAGAGATCCGCCTGGCTCTGCCTCCCGAGTGCTGGGATTAAAGGCGTGCGCCACCACCGCCCGGCCTTTAATTTATTTTTTATTTTGTGTGCTTTTGTTTTGGTTTGGGCTTTATCTTTGACGTAGTGTTTTGTTATATAGTTCATGCTGGCCTTGAAGTCACTTTGTAGCCTAGGCTGACATTGATCATGGTGATCCTCTTGCTTCATTCTCCCAAGTGTTCAGATTACAGGTCTTGAGCACCACACTCATCTTTTTTAATAAATTGTACTTTACATCAAAATCACTTTGTCTAATTTGACAAGTTTTGAGGAGATGATGATACTGCTAGTTGAAGGAATAAACTTTGAATATTATTGCTGTAGTCTAGATAAGCACAATTCACTTGCTAAACAAATATTTATGATGATGGTCCTGCTATCAGTTGAAGACTGAAAATATAAGGTTTGAACATGAATGAGACAAATACATTAAAAGTGATATGGTAATATTTCACATTATACACAAAAGGTATGTTAATTAGTTTTACCTGAAAATATAAATTGTACAATTAGCATAATCTGTCAAAAATACTTTGATGTTTCCAAGTAATTCTATCAAAGTTGAACAAGTTAACAGTTATATTGTAAAAGAGCTGAAAGTTACCTGAAAAGTATTTGCCAAACATTTAATCATATTGGGCTTATTTCATCAGACTAAAAACTTAGCTTCTATCATTATCTTTAAAAACAAGTGGTTGAAAACAAAAATAGAAACTATAAGGAATAGAATCTTTACATATATATATATATATATATATATATATATATATATATATATATATATATATATATAACCATGATACGATAAGGTTGAATACCTAACTGAAGATAGTATTTAAATGAAATTACTCTAAGAACTACCTCAGTACAAAAATAGGTAAATATAAATGATTTACAGATATACAACTATTTAGCAACAAAAATAATTTCAATATGTAAAATAATAAAATTTCAGTTGGAAGTCTTTTCAGGTTCCTGAAATTACTACTTGCTTCCATTTACTCCTGACAATGAAAATTGACAACAAAATCAAACTGGTGGGTGATGTATACTGCAAACTATCTTCCTTATTTAAAAATGAATTTAATTGTGTTGAGTCTTGCTAATTACTATGCACACATAACTTAATACTGAATCCTCAGTTAGGCTAGATTGTCTACTTATTTAGATAGTAGGCAGTTGAAATGTCCTTTAGTCCCCAGGTTAAAATGTACCCCAGGGCAAGAAATAAGAGACCTAGGCCCTATGGCCCAGGGGCAATATTTCCATTGACATGTACTAAACAGAAAAAAAGTATTTCACATCCTCTGTAACAGTGCAACTGAGGGACTCAGAGAACATGCGATATTAGGCTAGTAAGACTTCATTACATGAGAAAAGATGTGCATACCAGCAATGTGAAAGGCTTTTTCCCCTACAAAAGGAAATATCTACTTGTCACTTCATTTTCCTTACATATTTGGCAAAGGTTTAAAAAGAGTAAAATTGTAAAGCATAAAATACCCAGTTTGGACTAAGACATAGGTGAATGACCCTTAATTATGCTACCAGAGGTCATTATAAACAAGATGATTAACATTTTCTTGACATTCAATTTGGCAAGATGCTCTAGGCTCCTAAATATGATTCATACACTTGGACACAGCTATTTTACTTCTGAGAATTTATTTTACAGAAATAGCCAGGCAGATGTGCAAACTTTTAGCCATAGAGATGTTGAAAGCTGACCATTTAAAGCAAAGACAAACAAAAAGGTCTATAACCTAGTAACATTTTAAAATAATTGTGAAACATATAATGTATAATTCATGAAGAAAGAAAGAAGCAGGCATCCTTTGCTATTGTGACAAAACACCATGTTTTAGGCAATGAATAAATAAAACATCCAATTTGGGGAAACATGGTTCCGGAGGGTTAGTCCATGACCACCATGGTGGTGAGTGAGCATGGCAGCAGTTAAGAAGACATAGTGCTAAGCATTAGCTGAGAGCTTACATGTTCTGATAACAGCCATAAAGCAGAGAGAGATAACTGGGAATGGTGTGAGCTTTTGAAATACTGCCCCTTCAAGGCCACATCTCCCAATTCTTCAAAAACAATTCTAGTAACTGAAGATCAAGCATTAAAGCATTTGAGCCCATGGGAGACATTATTATTTAAACAACAACAATGAATTGAAAAATAAAGTTTTAATATTTTATTGACTTGTTTTTGTGTCCTTTCACATAAGTTGTGTCAGATTATCCCCACCATAGGAATTACCTTTTATTAATGTTTTAGCATCTGTTCACAAATCAGAGCTATCATTACATACTCAAAGTCATTCTAAATAAATTGTATTGAGTTCATTCAATATTAAACTATTTTCAATGATATATGAATGAATTTTCATCAAATATCCATATTCAGCATATTATCTTAAATTTCATTGTAGACCTTACATTATATTGACATTGCTTTGATTTATATTTCCTAATTTGATATCTAAGCAGTATAATCATATATAACATTAAAGTATACCTTTAATTTAAAAATACTAAAGAATTTAATACCCCTTATAGTTTGTTCTGAAAAATGAGGACTGCTTATTATATTTTCCACTGGATTAATTATATATTTCATCTTGTCTGCTAGGCCAGAATTCATAGGAAATAATTCTCTTGTAAATGATGTACCAACAAGTAAATATCTTCAACGCAGTTTAAATTCAAGAAATTGAGTGTAGTGAGTTGAATAGTATTGCCTAGTCCACAGTTTGTGTCCACCA